TACTTAGACTGGGAGCATTAAAAGTAAACTCTACTTTAGCCAGAAGTTGTGAAATGATATAAACGTGAGTGTTGAAATTAGTCTAAAAAACTGATTATTTTGTCACACGTAAGCTGTATACTAGCGCAAGTGTACTTGAGGTCTCTAACCAATGAGGCGAGGAGACATCCTTGCTTGTTTTCCTCCCTTTCAGCATACCCGTAAGGAGACAGCGTTTTGGACACGGGGTTCAAGTGTGAGGATCACAAATACTCAATCAACCGTACGCATTGTTGGAAGCCAATCCCATCCGCCGACAACACAACGAACTGGACGCTCGATTGGCAAGAGCTATATGCGTCCTGTGCAACTGAACTGAACTGAACTGAACTGAACTGAACTGTTCTAACCTGATCTATTTCCAAGGTCACATCCCGAGGCGCGAAACGGTCTGCAGTTGGAGTTGTGTTTATTCGTGCAATCAGCATGGTACGTTTCTGCGTTGATTATGTTTACACCATTAGGCTTCTGGAATTAAGCCCTCAGATAATTGTTTGACGGTTTATAACTCAATTAAGATGAACCATTCAAATCCTTATGCCATTTTTACAATTAATCCTGCAAAAAATGAAATAGATATTTTTAAGCTTGCTGAACCGGGTAAGTTGTCGTGGTACGTGTTGGTAACCCATCCTCAGGCAGCACACATGATGATTTCCTTAATGACATGCGGTCACTTGAATCTGAGGGATGTTTCGCAGTTTTAGATTACTGCCCTCCCGGTGCTCGGACCTACAACCTTGCTTTCATTTCATGGTAATGGGCTTGTGCTTATTTACTAAACTAATCCGATATGCAGGGTAAACGACAGCTTACCAGTGAGAAAGCGGATGCTTTACGCTTCCTCGAAAGACGGATTGAGAAGGTCCCTAGAAGGGATCAAGTTCTGTGTCCACGCCAGCGAAATGGATGACCTCAGTGAGAAAGCAATGACTCAAGCTGCATTAGCGGCCTGCAAATCCACTCGTTGAGGCTGTATTCTTCAGAGCAATGACCGGTTTTCTCGTTCATGTTTCGATTTATACATAAACTTGTGCTACTCTAACGCAACCATTCCTACCGTTGCATTCCTTTATTTGATTACACTTGCAACTTGAGGTTTTTGATGTTTTATCTTGTGATGCAAGCAAGCATGTTATTTTCTACTAACGAAGTCGGCCATCCATCATCTTCATGGGGCTACTGATGTACACGCAGAATCATATGACGTCTTACCATCTCCTATCATTCCAAATCGGTTTGCGAAAACCGATTTCTCTACACCTATGTCTTTTCGTGTAGCTGGCTTTATGCTGTTGCTATACCGTACCATCGAAATTCCATTGTGGATGTTTTTGGTTATCGACCTTTATGACAACGGTAATGTGATGCGTTTTTGTTGATCGTCGTTTCCTCATCTGTTAACTGGGGTTTGGCTTTAGCCTGGATTAAATTTTGTACGCCCATCCCAAATCAGTACCCAAAATTCCAGCCCAACAAATCATCAACCTCGCCCTTTGCTACAGATCGAGCGTTTTCCTTCAGGATTGTTAAATGTTACCGACACTTGAGTAGTTAGCGAATTGATTAAACTTGATGTGTGCGCGTAACCACCAGGTGTCAGTATCAAATTATGTGTGGACGCACGCCAGTGTAGCTTGGCATCGATTCGTACAATTAGGTAACGCAGGTGACCAACCCAACTATAAATCTTGGATGCAGTCGCAAGACGGTTTCACATGCACGTTTTATGGAATAAACCCTATTGGAGTCCACCGACATTTTTTCCTATGTTGGCTGCCTATCATTTTGATTGATGGTAAAAACGAGTACCTTAGATTGGGGCACATATACAAGTCAGGTGAGGTCAACCAATTTAGAATCGGGGTGAACCGTGTGAAGAGTAATAAAACGCCCAAGCGCTTTTTTCGTTAGCCCTCATTGCTCAATATTTCCAACCACCAATCTGGAAACTAAACCCGATCTCGATGACGAAGTCAAGGATTTTGTTGTATTTCGCCGAGGCATAACCAGAAAGGTTTACTCCGGCTTCACGATACTACCAAGCGGTTAGATCATGTAGGCCGTCCTTGCAAGTTCGCAGTACATCATGTTCGTAAGGCTAGGGGCCAGTCCCGAACGCTGGACTAACCACCACCAACCGAAACCCAAAGGCCTCTTGAAATAGATCCATAGCAGCTTCCTCGCCGTCGATTCTTTCATACCAGATTTAGGGGTTTAAAGGCTTGGGTTAGACCCATTAAAAAGTCACAAAGATTGCCTAAAGGAAAGACTTCATTCAAGGGATCCCAGCGAGAACCAGTTAATCGGTGTGGGTATGCCGGCTCTGAAATTTTAGGCACTCATTTGGTAAACGCTCTTTCTCCTCTCAATAAATTGTGGACACGCCGTAAAATGAACCCCCGTCTCAAGCCGCTATGGACCTGTTGCTCACCGATGGTTATGAAACAGCCATTGAGAGCCGGAGATACTGGTGATTGGGAGGGTTTTGTCTCTTGGTCCCTAAGTACAGTCTTGGAAGTACGTTGGAAAGACGATCTCAAAGGGAAGACTACTCACAAACGAAGGAAATGTCTCCGTTTCTACACCGCTGTCTTTGGTGATTCAGTGGCTGTAATGAACCTTTGAGCGATAGTCGAGACAGAGAGGGAGAAAACGAATAGCCTGGTACGATGCATTAATTTTCTAACAATGTAGATACATCAGATACAGTGGAGAAAAAGTTAAAGATGTAGGCGCAGGCAAAAGCGAAGAGACGCCGAGAGTATTCGTCTCATGGTCAATACACTGCGATAAATGGAGGGAAGGAGACCTTTCAAATCGCTGATGATTATTTCAAGCGGCCTGTTCACTTTAACCAAATTGCCAGGAGCGGTTTTGAAAAACGGAAGTTAAGTTGTGCACACGTTTTTGCTTCATCTGCAACCGTTTTATCACTTACGCCCATCCTGGTTGAGCGTCGCCGATACCACGATATCGGATGCATTACTCTTTACGATTAGTGGGTAGTTGTGGTCAGCGGTTTGAATAGCGGCCTTTTCCAACTCTGTCTTCAGTTCTTCAGACGAGGATTGTAAAGATGTGGTTATATATTAACGAGTACATTTTATCGAAGTGAGAAGTCCAATGGACAGTACGCCAGCATTTCCATCACCTACCTTTTCGAGGCGATATCCTTCGGAGTTCACTCCCTCAAGGCCGATGCTCGTACCGATCCTGGCTTGATTGAACCTTTGGAATCTTCATAATCGAGGAAAAGGATTTATCCAGCATCGATCACACTCCGATGTTCGGTAAACGCGACACCATTTTTCTTGGCGGCGTTCATGAAGATGAGAATTTGGGCATGTTCTGGGTCGCGGCCACACTTTGTGACGTCTACGTGGAATTTCATAGTCGATCTATCGTACCTTAAACGGAAGGAACTCTATTCGTGACCTCGATTGGAATACGACAAAGCTGGTACAATCTATCATAAGCCTCGAATGCCGTGTATGACTTTTCCTCTTTGCCAATGGGTGCTTTTTAGATGAAGTATATCGAACAGTGAGTATTGGGCTACCGTTCCTATTAGTTAAGCCACTTGTGGCAGAGGATATGCTACAAGATAAGGAAAGCAATATACCGTTCGGTTGTAGTCAATTATCATCTCTCTTATGTCTCTCTTTGGTTTTTACAAGAACCTGTCCACGCCAAGGAGATTGTTTAGTTTTATCGAACAACTTCGGATTCAGTAAAATTGTGATCATAAACTCAGTGACCGTGCGATTTGGTAGCATCTGGCATTTGGAGCTAGATTTTTGAACGAATTGGGAATGTTAGCTTTTACTGCATTTCTGAAAATCTTATTACACATTTGTGGGGTGAAAGGAAGATGAGATGGACCTTCTAATCGCGAGGACTTGTTCAGTGATGGAGACTGACAATCCACCCCCGGGATCTGGAGTGATGAACCGATAGCGAAGCTGCCTACCACTAAAGTTGGGTTCCAGTGGTAGGATTCGGATCTTGGACCATAGGGTACGAAGAAAGGCGAACGATTGCTATTCAAGGAATAATCACGCTCTATTGTTGACTGAGAAAATGAAGACCGAGAAGGAAATCGGTGCTCAAATCCTTTGAACTTGAAGGTTTTACTTCATTGTAGTGTTTTTTTTGGTATATCTTCATCATTATCACAGTACAGAAGTTCTCTGATCGTTGCCAAATACATACAAATTTAAGATGAGGTGTATGGATGCCTAAACATGCCCTTTGATAACAAAACAGATGGATGGAGGCCGTTGAATTGAGATGTTTAAGGGATTCTACGGTCCATCGTTGTTTGGAGGCGGTTGGTATACAGATAGCTCTCGCAACTACCGGTATCGAATGACGCACTCACTGTTATTCCGTTAATTTGAGTTTTGACTCGAGTAGGAGAAACCAATCATACTGTAACAATCAACAATGTACGGGTAATATAATACACATAATGTACGTTTGGTATGAGCATCGGCATTGGATCCACAAACCTTTTGGAGATATTCTTTCTTTCCATAAGAATAATAAATGGCTTCTTGGGCTGGACATTTTGAACAAGGAGGTCAATAATTTCCACGATGAAGTATTTATTAGTGGTAGACAGCCTTGTCGTCCGGTTCAACACCACGCTAACCACTGATGGTTAGGGACACTGGATGATATGGCTGCGAGCACTTAAACAGTGGCCTCCTTATATCTTACTTTCTCTGCAACATTAGCCCAATGCAATTCTCCATTTTCTATTGGGCTCTAATTTCAACTTTTCTGTCTTCTTTTCATTATTCATCCAAATGGGCAACCAAAACCGGCGCACGAAAGTGCGTAGTTAATGGTTGTACAAACTGAACTGACTACCGGGCCCGTATGTGGTTCGCCACTCCGAGTCCCGGGGCTTACGTNCAGGTGCTCACGGCTATATGACTTTCCCTTTCTGCTATTCATCACACACTGGTGTGTAATAAAAAGAAATAAAGGAAAAGAACAACAACTGCGTGGTTGGTCCCGGGCTGTGAATCGGGAACTCCGCGGCGTGATAATGAAATGAGAGAATGTGTTTGATTAGTCGTTGCACCACAGGGTACGTGTGAAACTGAATTTTTAGTGACCGATTGCTGTCGCGCATTCTACAAAGGTAGAGCCTCGTTAAGAACATCACAGACTTAGGTTTAGCCTCTCCAAAAATCGTTGGCAATTGCCGTTTAAAAGCAGCCCCTTAATGAAGGAGTAAAGGATAGTTTTATCGCAATGTCCCTCGATGGGAAATGGGATGAATTTACAATCCTTTTCTAAAAATTTCAGATTTTGCGTAAACTTATCAATCGATTGTTCTTGTTTTGTTAATTAGATATCGCATAAAGACTTCGTTTTTTTTGGTTTGACGTAAAGCACCTGACGTGTTTTCATTAGCGTTTTCATAATTAGGACACTCGATTATGTGCTGGTAGATGGACGGAGGTATAAAATTCACCACCAACTTTTTCTTATCGGTGTTGGAAAAGTGTTCATGCTCATGAGTCCACTGTCCGGAATTGGATAAAGAATGATAGTTAATACCAAATCGCTCCGGGCGATCCATCGTTGTTCGAAGGTTAAATTGTAATGAATTCGAATGATTGCGCTCTCACCGGGAGGTGGGGGGAGGGGGAGGGGGGGGGGAACCACAGCCAGATGTTTTTACCACGCTCTTGTGTGCTAAGCAGCGGACCGAGTGGAACCCCCTTAGTCGCGAAGACTTACTTGAATTGGAGTGGCGAATCACACAAGGCCCCGATGTGTTAAGCTTTAATCTTCCAACAATGTAGATACATCAGCTACAATGAAAAAACTACATCGCTAGTAAACGGTTGTATAATATGGTATGAAGAATGAAAGATTAAAGTTTTCACAACAATCATGTGCTCCGGCTACCGGGAAGTAAGTTTTCGAGACGTAATTGTTTCACCTAGCA